TCATGGGGTCACGAAGAGTTGGACACGACTTAACGACTGAACAACAACAACAACAACAAAATCACATTGCACAGCTTCCCCTGATACCATATTCCTCATCCCACATGGTGCATCTTTCTCTTGATCCTTGAAAGCAAGCACCATGAAAATTGGGTGAGCACAGACTGTATTTTTCAGTTATATAAACTAAACAGTGAAGTTTAGAGATCAAGAATGTTTTCTTATATAAAGGGGACTGAAGCCATTAGGAACTTCTAATTCATTACAGGAGAAATTTTAAAGAGCAGTTGAAATCAAATGACTAAATCCACTAGTTACCTCAGCTACTGACTAGACTGCCTTCTCCAAGCCACTATTTTTTCAGTCTCCCATCTGCAATTGGAAATAAGAGCTTACCATATCAACTTTTTTTCTTCTTCGCTCAAAACAGTGAAAATGGTATGTGAATAATTTCCTCAATTCTAAGAACTATTTATTGAATGATTTTATTAAATTTAGAGGCTGTTCAACTCCAAATGATTGGGTGGCATACAATTTTAAAGTAAGAGGGAAATTTCTACTTTTCCTATTCTTGTATTGGTTTCTTCTGATTTTAATAATTACAACATTTTACTATTTCATCTGAATTTTAATATTGGATTTTATGGAAAAACAAATCTAAGCTGTTTTGAAAGTCAAGTGGGGGGCATAAATAAAAATCTTTTACTATTTTACAACTTGTAGAAAAACCTATTCTTATATTCCATGATGGCTAACTTTACTAAAAAGTTTCAATCAAAAACATTTTAAATATAAGTAATGAAATAACTACTGCAGTAATACAGTGTTTTGCATAGGAAAGCTGAGCTGGTTCGAAAAATAGCTCTCCAACCTGTTAGCAAAAGTGAAATACTAGAACTAGAACAGTCTTGTGAAATTGTTACGTAGGCTCATAGCTTGTACATCAGCCATTTACTTCTTTTTTTTTTTTACTTTTTGCCTTCTAAAGAGTTCTGCCTTACCAAGATTTCATAATAATTCAAAAGCTTGATATTGGATGTCTAAACATCCAAATATATTGATGCATATAATCAGATTTATACAGTGATTACATAAGTAAAGTTTGCTGGAACTGAAGTGGTAAATAAATTGCATAAATAAAAAATAAAAATAAAACATTGAGGTGAAATAAAGCAGGCTTTTTTCAGTAACTCTATAGGGTATGATTCAACAGAACTTTTTACATTTAAAAGTTATCCCATCACGCATGAGCAGAATTACAGGTTACATACTTGGCTAGAGGCTTTCATTATCTGAGTATTTTCAGCTAAGAGTACTCAACTTCATTTACCTGTATGGATCAGTAACAGAATGTGACTTCACATGAGAATACCAATCCTTCTTCCAACTATAGCATTTCCCACAAAATTGACACTGGAAGGGTTTCACTCCAAGATGTTTGTTCATATGCTGGCGGAGGTCCCGAGGTTCGTAGAAACTTTTCTCACACCTGAAATTAGATTTGAGATAATATAGAGTACATATATATATATAGCCCTTGTAACTGAGGTGCATCCATATGTGTACATGCACTAATACTATTATTTCATGTTTGAAAACAATCTCTATTAACAATATGAAGCAATTTGCTGTGCTACCAAATAGTGAGTTAATCCTCCATCAGATTTTGAAAAAGAGAGTAATTCTAAAGTTAATTCTTTAACTTTCCAGAACTGTTTTCAAGACTATTTTACAGACAATAATGTCACTTTTCTATGGAATAAATAACAGTAAACATTTATAACATAATAAAAAAGAATGGTTTCAATTTGTTATCTTAAGCATAAGCTTTTATTATTTGCATGCACTATGCAGTGGAAAAATAAGATACATAGAGTTTTAATGAGTAAGAATACTAAGTGAAAATAAGCAAACCAGTATTAGAGAAACCAAGAGTACTAAAACCAGGAGCATTGGTATGTTCAAGGAGACTAAGGAATGATGAGGATGTTACAAAAATTAAAGAAATCCAAAGGGTTTGGATTCTTGCAAACAAAAAGATTCCTAGCTCACTGAGCACTGAATATGCCTGGAAGATATAAAATGTTTAGTGCCAATCTGAATCCAAAATGTGAGGTGAGGATGAAATACTGTACTTGAAGCTACTGATAATACAAATATAATTGGCTGAAATCTTGAACAGGAGAGACATAACTCCCTTTAAGAATTCCTTCTAAACAGTGAATTTTATATGGATAGTGCTGAAAAGACTAAAGCCAAGTTCCTGTTATAAGGAAGCAATAAGGAGAAGTGTAAAGGAATTAAAATATTTTGAAATGTTTTTAAGGGGCAAAAATTCCAGCCAAAACAGCCTAATAAGAACACAGAGGATGTATGGAGGGAGGAGGATTCAGAAATAGGGAACTGAATGGCACATTATGATACCATGGCTAGGTGGAACCTGAACAGTAACACTCAGTGCTGCAACATAATAGCCTAAGTCCTACTCCAGGAATACCTAATAAAAAAGGTATTAAGAAACTTATCTAAACACTGCCTACTACAAATTACTTCAAAGCTCTGAGAAATTTTGTAATATTTCAACTAAAGAAACTTCCATTAAAATATTTATTTAAGCAGTTTTGGCTTTCATCATCAAGAGTAACATAAATAATCATTTCATTACCCACTGAAGTTAGCCAAGCTACCTTCAAACCTTTTAAAATCTTAATTATACTTACTGGGTACATTGATAGCCACGAATTTCAGGTTTGGGCTGGTGTTTCTTTAAGTGTTTACTAAGTCCTGAAGCTCTATGAAAAGATTTTCCACAGTGTGAACAGAAGTATTTTGATTCTCCTGAAAATATTAAGAGTATCTGTAATATATGGGTAGGCAAACTACAGACCACATACCGCTTCCAAAAGGCTCCTGGAGCTGACATTTTATGACAATCTGGCAAACAGAGATGTAACTGTCCCGATTCTTAATTTTAAAATAATCACTATCCATAAATTATCACAAAGGCTTAACACATCTAAAATACTTCCTAAAACTCAAATAAAGAAACCATCCAACTCCCTCTCCTCATATTACCCCCCCCCGATAAATCTTAATCTCCTCACTTTTGTGATACCATTATGCCACCACTCTTAACTATTCTGGCTCTCCCCTGCTCCCAAATAATAGATGAAATAAAATATATTAATGATAATATTCAGTATCAAATAATTTTTCACATATTAAGAATAATTGGTCAAACATAGAGCATAAAAGGGCTGACTTCAAAGTCTGTGCTCAAAGGTGGATACAGTGCTTCCTTTATTGAAGTCACTTACTAAAAATGTGGCTGTAGTTTAGCATACTTATTTTATATACTAAAACTGGCTGTACACTTCTGATACATTCTCTTTGACCTTGTTTGGAGGTTCCAGCAGGGTAGCCCAGTCACTGCACACCTCAGACTGAAGAATGGAATACTACCCCCATCTGGGGTTGCCATCCTACCCCACTGGACATGCAGCCCTGGAAATGGCAAGGGAGGAAGCCAGCCAGCCCAGCTGAATTAACCCTGGCAATCAATGGGGTGACATGTCACAGCCAGAGGCTGCATTTGATTTTTTGCAGGCTTACTCAGTACTGGGCTTGATATCACTGGTCCAGCCAGACACAGCTGTATTCTAGTCCTAAAAAAACACCCATATTAATTCCCACTGGTTGGTATCCTGTCCTAGACTGATGGTTAAATCATGTTTCCTACACAGAACCATCCTCATGTAGGAGTTTCTTCGATTTATAAAATTACAGAGGAAGAGGGATTACAAACCCATTGAGTTGAGAAGTGACATTTTACTCCTTTTTACATTATTTTATTTCTGGCATTAATTAAGATTGTGTCTCATTTACCTGTGTGAATGCTTACATGCTCCTGAAGGCTTCTTTTTGTGACAAAGGACTTGTCACACAATTCACACTTAAACTGCTTTTGTGCCTCGTGCAACACAAGGTGCATCTTTAAACCATGTTTGTAGGTAAATGACTTCCCACAAATCTATTAAAACAATAACATCACAAAAATATTATTCTTTCCAGGTGGACAGCAATACACTAAGATGAAGAAAGCTTCACTGAACCTGCTTATACTGCATGATCCATAAGTACTTGACATTTTCTTTTCCTAGGGTTAGCATTCTGTAGAAAATTATATTAGGACTGTTATATCTGAGCTGCAAAAAATCCAGAAAACCACTCAATGGCAATAAATAGATAGAAAACACCCACTTTTTGCTGCCATCTAATGGTCATATGGATTTTGCAAAGCCTTGTGGTAACTGTAAACTAGATAATTGTGCAAGGTGAGAGATTTATTTTATTTGGTTGTATGCTGTCCATTCCCCTACAAGTCCTGCTTGCTGCCTCATTGTGATGGGGAGCAGGAAGATGTTCCTGGGAGGAATGACAAAGAACCCCAGTTGTGTATTCCAAGAGTATATATTCCCAGCAGGGTCACTGAAGGTGTGAAGGTCAACCCAGCTGCACAGCAAAAGCAAGCAGCCACCTACAGTGGGGCAAAAAAGTATTTAGTCAGCCACCAATTGTGCAAGTTCTCCCACTTAAGAAGATGAGAGAGGCCTGTAATTTTCATCA